CCTTTTTATCTTATCCAGAATACTTAGGAGGGTAGGACTCACACTCTTAATCCTAGTGCCCTTGAGCCTAGCATTGCTCAATGAATCAATTCCAGCATATTCTAGATTCTTTTACCTCTAAAAATGCACCCCCTCATATGAGGCTTTAGGGAGACTTCTAAATATATCATAACATACTGCCTCTGGCTCCCCAAAGACTCATACATATTCCTTTAAGTACAAAAGCATCTCCAAGAGTTGTCAAATCCTAACAGTTTCAGTATTGCTGAAAAATCCAAGTCCAAACTCTCCTCTAAGGTTTAAGGCAAACTCTTAGCTGTAATCCCATTTACAAATGAAAAGAAAGTTAATGTCAAACATTCAATGGTACAAGATAGACATTTCTATTTCAAAAGTTACAAACAGGAGATAGCAAGGAATGAAACAAAGCAAAACTAAAATCCAGCAGGACAAATATTAAATCCCACAGTTTCACTTCCAGCATCCCTGGTAATCTGCGGCAAATTGTAAACTCTAAAGGACTTGTGTGGCTCCACCCCTACCACCCTTCTGGTGGTTGTAGCTTCCATAGCTTTTCTGTTTAGGCAGCTCTGTTCCTTCTCCGCAGTTTTCTTTAAATGATCCACATTCCTGGTTTCTCCAAATTTCTGAGGTAGCACATTTAGCTTCAGTTTCATGCACTTCCCTTTTTAGAGGCACGTCGATGGGTCCTCCAGGTTTCTCTTGAATTTTGTGTAGAAGCCTTTCTGACCCCACAACTCTTCTATTCTGCCTGTACCTAAAGCCAGCACCACATGGATGATGCCAAGTTCTGCTACCAAGGGGAGTAGTAGCCAGGCTTCCTTCTCTCTTTGCTATAGTGGCAGAATATCTGGATCACTGAGCACTCTGACCACAAACCCGAGCAATAAATTCCTAGGCTGGTGCCGTTCTAAAACATGATGCTTTGGGATTCTCTTCTGAAAACAAAGCCTTTCACCTTTACAATTGTGAGGCTGCAAAATGTGGAATCCTGCTGCTTCTTATAATGCCCTCAGGGTATCTTTTCTACTCTCTTGTTCCTTCTCAGCAATCAATATCTCTTCTGCTCTATCTTTGAAGTTCATGGCTCTACTGGAGCTTCCTCTTTGGCCAAACTTAGACTTTTTGCTCTTGATTCTCAACATAAATCTGACAGTAGAAACACCACTATCTCAACATTATACTGCATTGAAATTTCTTCTGTCAGATTAGTCCACTACTCTTAATCTTGGTCTTAGGCAAAGATTTTGGATATGAGCAAAATGAAGATAAACTTTCTACCCATGTATAATGCACATTGTCTAGAGTTCAATGGCCATTGCAATCCTTCCCAGCTTCCTCTGAAACCTCCAGGGCCTGTCAGCATTTCTATCAGCCTTCTGGTCTTCAGAGCTCAGACCAGAATCTCCTATTAAGTACAGCCTAAGGCATTCCAGCTCTACTTTTTCAGCTGGCATTTCTGAACCTTTCTTAACTCTTCCCTTTGCCACAAGCCAGTTCCAAAGGCTCCTGAACCACATGGTTAGGTAACGTAAGCAACCACTCCATTCTCTACTACAAAATTTTGTCTTAGTTCTTTTTCTCATTGTTGAGATAAAATACTCAACACTGAAAGTTAAATGTGGCAAGGTTTATTTAGCTCACAGTTTGTAGAGGTTTCAGGGTATAACTGGCTGGCTTGAAGGCAGAGCAGCACATAAAGAGGGGCATCACAGGGGAGAAACAGTTCATTGCAGGCTGAAGGCAGCAAAATCAAGTAAGCAAGGGATTAACACAGCCTCTTTCTTTTACATTGTATCACACATCCTAGACACAGCCATTTCTAAAAAAGCCCCACTTATGACCACATGAGGCCTTGGTGGTTGTATCTAAACACAAGCCATAAAAATTAACAAGCTTATTTATAGTATATCCTTAACACTGAATGAATAATCATTTAGAACTCCAGTTTGGGGTGTGTGTGTGTGTGTGTGTGTGTGTGTGTGTGTGTTCATGTGTGTGTCCCAGGGCACAGGCTTTTTTCTTTCTTCTTTTTTTTTTGAGACAGGGTCTCACTAGATATTTCAGATTGGCCTTAAACTCACTACATAGCCTACACTGGCCTTGAATTCACAGCCATCCTCCTGGCTCAGCCTAACAAATGCTGGGATTACAGGCATGCATTACCACAAGCACAGGCATGCACTACCATATCTTATTAATTGGTTCAAGCAAGTGTCCTTGGGGTAAAGGTTGGCTGTGGGCTCTGCTGTCTATGCTCTTGTCTTAGTTTTTTTTTTTTAAGCACATATTTGCAAAAAATAATACTTTTATTTCTTTTGTGGAACTTATACATATATACAAAACACATCTTAATTCCTTTTTTCATTCCTATTCCCTACCCCCATTATCTCTTGATTGCCTTTCCATCTAAAAACATCTAACTCCCTACTTCCTAATATCTTTATTTATAACCTGGTTTTCTAATATAAGACAAACTATGCTATATTTAAGCTCATGCATCTGGCTTACTTCACATTATTGTCTCAAAGTGTAGCCATTTTCCTATGACAAAGTTTTCTTTATGACAGCGCTGCTCTCCATTTTGTGTAAATACCACATTTTCTTTATCCATTCATCTGTTGATGGACATACAGGCCATTTCAAATACTTAGCTGCTATGAATCATGCTGACATCAACATGCAAATGCACATATTATTGTACTATATCATTAACTCTTTGGGGAAGATATTTAGAATGGGAGGAAATAGCAGGATGAAATTCTTTAGTTCTTAGACTTAACAAATTATTACCTATAGTCAGTTAATCAATATATTTAAGATTTTTTATAAAGTACTTTTCCAGGATATTTTGTTTTCATTGTGACAAATGTATCTAATTCGTGATACTACCACAACAAAAGGATATATTCTTTTGTTTTATATGTTAGTCAGAAACCCTATTTCCCTGGGGTTTTTTGGTTCTGTTTTGTTTCTTAACTCTGTTTCCAATGTGACTATCTTGCCCTGGGGTATGGGAGTTTGACTATTTCTTAAGCACACAAACTCCCTTCTTTTATCACAACTTAAAGTGATTTATCTAGTCTTAGGTCTAGTTGGCTATGGCAATTATGTTATGCTTCTTTATTTCTAGCACACTTTTTACACTCAAAATAAATGACCAAGTTTTCAAAAA